GAACCTGTTTGAAGAAATGATATCTGAAAACTTCTCAAACCTGTGGAAAGAAACAGACCTCCAGGTACAGGAAGCACAGAGAGTACCAAAAGAGATGAACCCAAAGAGGTCAACACCAAGATACATTATAATTAGAATAACAAGAATTAAAGAGAGAATCTCCAAAGCAACAAGGTACACACAAGGGAAACCACATAGGGCTATGAGCTAACTTTTCTGCACAAACCTTTAGGCTAGAAGGGAGCGCGATGATATATTCCAAGTGATGAAAGGAAAAAGACCTAGAACCAAGAATACTCCACCTGGCAAGGTTATCATTCAGAATGGAAAGAAAGATAAAAAAATATTCCAGCCAAGCAAGAACTAAAGTAACTCATCACCAGTAAACTGGCCTTACAAGAAATGTTAAAGGGACTTTGTTAAGTGGAAAAGAAAAGGCCACAACAGGAATAAGAAAATTATCAAAGAAAAAATATCACTTAGGAAGGCAAATATATAGTAAAGGTAGTGGATCGACCAGCTATAAAGCTAATATGAAGGTCAAAACACAAAAGTACTAAAATCGTCTATATCTATAATAAAGGTTAAGGGATACACAAAATTAAAAGAGGCAAAATATGATGTCAAAAACATAAAACATGGGTGGGGGAGAAAAGCGTATGGCTTTTAGTAAGAGGTTAAACTTAAGAGACCATGAACTTAATACAGATTGCTATAAACATAGATTATTATATATAAACCTCATGGAAACCATGAAACAAAAACCTATAATAAATACAAAAATAAAGAGAAAGGAACCCAAACATAACAATGAAGACAGTCATTAAATCACAAGGGAAGACAGTAAGAAAAGAAGAAAGGAACAGAGAAGAACTACAAAAACACTCAGAAAAGAAGTAACAAAATGGCAATAAGTACATACCTATCAATAATTACTTTAAACATAAGTGGACTAAATGCTTCAATCAAAAAATATAGGGTGGCTGAATGGATTCAAAAAACCAGGCCAATATTTATGCTGCATACAAGAGTCACATTTCACACGTAAATACATTCATGAACTGAAAGTGAAAGGACTGAAAAAGATATACAATGCTAATGGAAACAAAAAGCTGAGGTAGCAATAAATATAATAGACAAAATAGACTTTAAAACAAAAGCTGTAACAAGAGACAAAGAAGGGACTTACATAATGATAAAGAGGACGATCCAACAGGAGACTATAAAACTCATAAATATCTACGGATCCAACATAGGAGCATCTAAACACATAAAGCAAATAATAACTGACATAAAAGAAATTGACAATAACACAATAATAGTAGGGAATTTAACACTCTACTTACATCAATGGATACACCATCCAGAGAAAATAGAACTACCACATGATCCAACTATTCCACTTCCAGGTATTTATCCAAAGAACACAAAAACACTAATTCAAAAAGATACATGAAACCCTATGTTCATTGCAGCATTAGTCACAATAGCCAACACTAGGAAGCCACCTAAGTGCCCAGTAACATATGAATGGATAAAAATGGTTTGGTACACACACACACACACACACACACACACACACACACACACACACAATGGAATACTACTCAGCCAGAAAAAAGATGAAATCTTGCCATTTGTGACAATGTGGATGGACCTTCAGGGTATTATGCTAAGTGAAATAAGTCAGATGGAGAAAGCCAAGTATCATATGATTTCACTCATATATAAAAGACAAAACAACAACAACAAACAAACAAGCACATAGATACAGAGAATAGATTGGTAGTTACCAGAGGGGACGGGGGAGTGGCGAAGGTGAAAGGGGTAAAAAGGCACATGTATGTGGCGGGATGACAACTAGACTTTAGGTGGCAAACAGGAGTCTGCACAGAAGTCGAAATATAATGATGCATACCTGAAGTTTATATAATTTTTTTTTGAGGAAGATTAGCCCTGAGCGAACTACTGCCAGTCCTCCTCTTTTTGCTGAGGAAGCCTGGCCCTGAGGTAACATCCATGCCCATCTTCCTCTACTTTATATGTGGGATGCCTACCACAGCATGGCGTGCCAAGCGGTGCCATGTCCACACCCGGGATCCGAATTGGTGAACCCCGGGCCACTGACAAGTGGAATGTGTGCACTTAACTGCTCCGCCACCGGGCTGGCCCCTGAAGTTTACATAATGTTTTAAACCAATGTTACGTCAATAATAAATAAATAAATAAATACATACATAAATAAATACATAAATACATAAATAAATAAATAAGAAAGGACAGGAACCAAGTCAGCTCTGCGTACAACAGCAGAATAAACTTATGGGTATTCTCTCCAGCTTTAATGTGACATTTCCCCCCTAATACACCAGTCCCTGTTTCAGTTCAAAGTTTCATGTTCCTGGGAGACAGAAACTGATTGTCCCATCTGGACCAGGGATCTCCTCCTGGAATAAGCTATGATGGTCAAAAGGTGAGGTTCACATATCACAGACACCAGACATGGCCATGTAATCTATGGTTTCAAACCATTTCCAAAGAAGGTAAATCCTCATTAATTGGATGTGCACTCCATCCCATGTGGTATCTACTAAAATCTAATATCAAGAGTAATGAGATTAAGAGGATGTATTCACTTTCCCCAGAAGATATAATATTTCCAGGCTTTTCCTGTCATAAGAACTTTCTGACACCACTGAACTGACCAAAGGGAACTGACAGAGAATTTCTGAGGTGGAAGGAGCCCTTTCCAACCATTAATTCAACCTTCTCATTGTATGATGAGAAATATGAGGCCCTTGCATGCAATCTTACATATAGTCACACAGCAAATAAGTGGTAGTGCTGGGTATACAGGAAACTTCTGACCTTTAATCCTGCAGACACTTTCTCTGTCTATGCTCCACAGTATTTAGCACTGTGCTGAGAACATAACCATGGTATCTTTTAAACTTCCCGATGGTATCATGCTCAGGTACAGGCAGCAACCTAGCAAGAGGTATCTGTCATCCATGGCCAGAAGTCCAGAGAATTGGCCTGAGCTGAGTAGCTTCTATGAGTAGGCAGATAGCTGAGGTTTGGACACATGATGGATAAGCAATCAAGGACATATCAATGACAGCTTAAGATAGGCCTAAAAGACAAGATTCTTGTCCTTCTGAGTTTTCTCTTCTTGAGGCTAAACAGCCATAGGTCCTTCCACTGGAAAAGAGAAGTGGCTGCCTCATATGACCTTGTGTCAAGGTCACAGCTTACAGAATTGCTCAAACTATCCTTCTTGCTGTATGTAACAAACGTCCCTAATTTCAGCTGCTTCCCTTCATCTTTAACCAATTAACACCCAGCAAACTGGGATGTCTGCTCTTCCCAATATCATGACTGACTCTAAGGTTAGTTTAGGAAATATAGTGTAGTGGAGAAGTGTGCATATCTGGAGCCATACTACCTGGGTTCAAATCCTAGCTTCACCATTTCCTAGGGGTGCGATTGTCTGCAAGTCACCTATCTCCCTGGGCTTTGTTTTCTTGCCTGTAAAATGAGGATAATAACAATACCTATTTCATAGGGAGGTTGTGGGAGTCAAATGAGTTAATACATCCTTGGGGGTATGAGAGAGCATATATAGATAACCTGACTCCAAAGTAAGAAACACATCTAGAGACAGAGATTTTATTATTTTATTAATTCAGGTGAACCAGGCCTTCAAGAACTATGCTCCCTAGCACTGACTTGACAAAACTAAAAACACTTAAGTCAACTACCAGCAATCAGCTGCAAACCCTAAAAGCCACTAGGTAACTGCTCCAACTACCACTGCTAACTCAGCCCAGAGGCAAGGTATCCAGATGGATGTCCTAAGGGAGAATAGATGGGGCAAATGGTTCATAACAGATGCGCTTCTCTTTACTGTCTTCTTTTTTGGTTTGTTTATTGTTTAAACACAAAATAACACTCAGATAGATCCCAGAAGATATCACCTTCAATTGTTCTTCCAACAAATATTAATTGAGCCCCTACTATATGGCAGCCACTGTTCAGTATGTTGAGGATAGAGCAGAGAACAAAATAGATGAAGTCCATGCTCTTACTGAGCTTATACTCTAGTGGGAGAGACTCTTTACCATAGAAGCAAACATACACATAAGATTGTAATCAGTACCTTGATAAAAATAAAATGGGATAAAGTCACAGCCATGGGAGTTACTTTAATCTCAGTGGTCAGGGGAAGTTTCTCTAAGATCTGAAGGACGTTGGAGCCCACCATGGGTAGAACCAGGTAGAAAAAAAAGGAAGTGCAAAGTTCCAGAGGTCAGACAGATCTTTGCATATTGAAATAAAAAGGAGATCATGGCTAGAGGAGAGTCAACAAGGTTTTATAAATAAAGTCTAAGGGGTACGCAAAGGCTGGATCTAGAGATAGTAGTGGCTAGGGCCAGGGTGGTAGTAGTGGAGATGGTGAGAAGTGGTCAGATTCTGGACATATTTTTAAGACAGAGCCAACAGGATTTCTTGAACCGGATGTGAAGTATGAGAGAAAAAAGCGAGTCAACGATTTTGGGCCTGAGCAACCAGATGTTGCCATTAACTGGAATGGAGAATGGCATTAAATATAATTTCTGATGGGTCATTCTGGAGTTCTACTAATACCTGGGGATGGGACCTCAGGGGCCTTCTCTGACTTTGAGCTGCCTAGTCACCAAGGGGGCCTTGGTGTGGGACTGCTGTTTTGGGTGAGTGAAAGGCATGAAGCACATTTGTGGGAATCCCCACCCTCTCTTCCACCCCATTCTAGTCAGAAACCTGCAGACGCACACAGATGAGAAATAGAGAAGACAGAGCATACCGGGTCAGGCAGAGTGAAGAGGCCTTAGGGACAGAAGATTGGTTGTAGCCACTTCAGAAACTGCACTGGAGTGGGCGGTGCCAAAGAGGGCGCCTCCTCAGGAACTTTCTTGGCTATCTGGCAGCCTAGGGACCCACTCTTTACAAGAAACAGAGTAAAGAAAGGAGATGGGGTGGGGTATGGCGTAGCCTGGCCGGCCCAGGAGGAGTTTGGGTGGAGCCGATTGTGTAAGCTTTAGAGCAGAGGGGGCGGGGGGACTGCCACTAGCAACTAACCTCAGCTTCCCTAACTCAGCAGAAAGGTCGGAGGCATTGTTGGAGAGGCCAGGAGGTCCAAGGTTCTGTCTGCCCGCCAAAGAGGGACAAAAACCCAAGTAGTGCGGTGCAGCTTTAAAGGGGCTGGTGATTGACAGAAAGTGTAGCAGTGCATGGGGTGGAGCCGTTGGGTGGGGTCTGGGACGGGCAGCTGGGAGAAGAAACCACAAGGAAGCAAAAAGAAAACCATTGCCCCAGATATCGCTAATGCCGGGTGGGGGAAGCTAGCCAGAAAGGGAGGAAAAGGAGGGTTTTAGAGCTCATCTCCACTCCCACCCCCGGTCAACTTTCGTAAACCCTTGTCTCCGTTTGAGGTAATTTAAAATCGAGTATACACTGGCCCTAGTCGGTGCCCATTGCCGCTAACTCTCCACTGAACTAGGTTTGTAGTACGAGGGAGTGAGGACCCCGGCTCCACCAGCTCAACCCCGGCCCCGCCCCGTCGGCCCTGGCCCTGGGCTGAGAGGAGAGGATGCCTCCGGAGGCGCAGAATCCGAAAGTAAGTCCCTTTCATTTCGCTTACAAACCCTCCTCTTCCTTTTGCCACCCTCACTAGGGTCTCAGCTGGGTAGCAAGGAAGCACCTTTCCGAAGGAGACTTTCAAGGAGGATCCAGAGGGTGGAGTAGGGTGGGGTGGGATAAGAAGGAGAGGGGAGGGGAAGAGAGGGGAGGGGAGGGGAGGAGAGGTGGTGCTTTAGAGCCTAGGGAAGCTGCCACCCACAGGGTAGGCGGGATAGGCGTGCTCAGAGTTTGGTCGTTGTATCATTAGAGCCTTGATTTCTCCTTCTGTCGTTAGAACCGCGACTTACCCCCTCCGGGCGTTCTTTCTTTTTGTCTCACTCCAGCATTCCTATCAGGTGGCTTAAAGCCTCTAGCTGAGAGCTGGGAGGGCTCCATCTTGCTTGGCTTCTTAAAGGGGCAGCGCACTAGATCAACTGAGGGAAATCTGTACTGGAAATTCAATCTCGAGAAGGATGGCAGTGACTCACCTTACTAAGACACTACTGTGTTGGAGGAATTTGTGTGGAGAGGACAGTTTTTTCTTCCTCATACCAGCCTCTAAACCTGATTCTTATATTCAGTTGATTCTCAGGAGGTGCACCCTAGGCAATGTTGCCAAGTTTCACATTAGTTAACTGCAGAGTCAATTGGCTCTGCAGTTTTAGCTGAAGGGGAAAATTTGTTTCCTGAGAGATGCAGTGGCAGTGCAGATGACTTGAAAACATTCATTCTACAAATATTTATTGAATGCCAGATTCATTGCCTGTAGCTGTTCCTACTGCTGAGTGGCGTCTGTAATGTGAAGACCATGTAAAGTGCTGTCACTGACTTCTTTCTTAAGAGATTGGTGGGCAAGGTTTCTTCCTAGGATATGGAGATGAATGTTGAATTTGATTCCAACATTTACCGAGCTTCTGTCACATCAAAGTTACAATGGTTAACGTTTGTTGTATTTTCTTTAGTACCAGGCATCCATATCCCTAATCCCAAGTGACTGGGAGATCCAGCTGAAGAGATAGGAACTCAAGTCAAAATTGCATGCAAAGTGAGAGAGGCAGGATGCTTCAAAAGGGAAGTTAAGGCCACCTTGGCTAATGTGTCACTCCCATGTCCATGTCCAGTTGGGAAGATTGTGTTGGGGAGAAGGGCTTCACCAGCTCTCTCCTCGGGTAAAAAAAAAAATCCAAAAACCCCAAAAACTAGTGTGGTGGAGACTTGTTAGAAGGGCTCATATGGACCAGTGACATCTCTTCCATGTCTGTCTGTCTCGTGTTTCTGCCTAGGGAGGGAGCCTAATGATATCTCACGAGTCAAAGCAATGGAAATGTGTTATTTGAGGTTTTAGGGCTAGTATTTCACTTTGAAAGTTTCCTTTTGGTCAGTGGAATGCCACAGCTCCCAGCCCTCTGCAATTTACCAGTTCAGCTGTCTCTGTTTTTAAATGCAAGGCACAGAGTCCCTCCCCTCTTTAATGTGCTGGGTTTTATTGCATCCCCAGTGCCAGTTCCCATCAAGAGCATAAGTCAGTTGTAGGTTCCTGTCAATGTTTAGCTAAAACACTTTTCCTTCAACCCCTTTCTCCTCAGTTGGTTTTCCACACCTCAAAATAACCTTCTTCTGAATGGCCATATCATTGAGTCCACTGGATTCAGATAAAGAAGAAAGCCTCACTTAGGATTCTTTCTCCCTAAAGTCCCTGGCCTATGGCCTCCTAAAATCAAAGGAAACATGAATTCAACTGGAAGTCTCCTGGTTACTTTTATCAGTAGAAGTGCAGTCTTGTCCCAGAGCCAACACTTTGTACGTGTCGCATCCACTGAACTCTGCTATCCTCCCTCTTGCATGGAAGGTGGGGAAGGAACTATGTGCTGGTTACATAGCCAGCCTCCTGCATTTGGCATGCATGGAATATGTGAGGGACTGCTGTGCTTCCATTTTAACATTTGGTTGCCCCTTTGTGTTCATGTTAGTTTTGTTTTCTTTGGGAAAGTTTCTTGTTGCGGGATATGGGTACTAGGCAGTTCTTAGCTGTCATAAGATACCATTGCCGAAATATGGTTATTCTTTTTCTAGGACAATGAAAGGTTTGTGAACTCACTAACAAGTACTACAGGCAAACAATAGAAATCCTTCTCCAAGGGCTTCAAGTGGCTTTCCTAGAGTAATTTAAATTGTTTGGTGTCATGCATTCTACTTCCTGGGATTGTAGAGAATTTTGTCTATGCAGAGGTAAAACGGTTTCATAAGGAATAACTGCAGAAAGAACACTGTGCTCTCTTTCTCTGTATTTTACTAGCAGTAGTTTTGACCCCCAATTTCCCTTCTGGAATGCCTGGATCTGGTGGGGTAGACTTCTCTTGCCTAGACTAATTAGCTTGCCCTTACATGTACTTTGGTCTGAGCTCCTTCCTAGTTGTTGCTCAGCCTTCAAGGGTGGAGAGCTGTGATGGACAAAGATATCAGCACAAAAGTACATTGTGTTATGATATTCATTAATTCATTTATTCAACAAATACTTGAGAATCTACTCTGTGCCAGCACGGAATAAGACTTATATAGCAATAAACAAAGCAAAGTCCCTGCCCTCTTGGAGATTATATTCTAATGAGGGTGTGTTGTGGAAGAGAAAGACAATACATAATAAGATATTTTTTGGGTGTTGATAAGGTGGAAGAAAGGATATAAGGTACTTGCAATTGGAGAGAGCTATTTAATATAGAGCAGTCAAGGAAAGCTTGTCTGATGTGGTATTTAAGAATATATGTGAATGAACTGAGAGAGAGAGCCAGCCATGAGAATACCTGAGGGAAGGGTGTTCTAGACAGAGGAATTAGAATGTGCAAAATCTTGGTGTATTCAAGGAACAGCAAGAAGGCCAGTGTCATTGGAGTGGAGAGGAGGAGAGTGGTAGGACAAGAGATCAGAGAGACAGAGAGGGCCAGATCACACAGGACCTTGTAAAGACTTTGGCTTTTATTTTGAGTGAGATAGGAAGCCATTTTTAAAGAAAGTAATCAACAATTATTTTACTTAAAATTTTACTCTAGTAAGGAGGATGAATCTTAACGCATTGTTCATCTTAACCCAACCAAGATGGTTTATGTTTTTATGCTTTGGATACAATGGTCCTTTAAGAAAAACTTGGTAAGATTATTGCTGAATTCATGCCAACTAATACAATTTAGTTTCATACCATTGTTTTATAACATAATTATCTGAAAAGAGTTTCAAACACATTTGAAACTACTTAAATACAAAAAGTCTTTTCAATGTACTTTAATCAAAAAATCACAAATTTATTAGCACTAGAAGAATGCTTAAACTTTTTAAGAAAACATCATAATATTTTATAGCGCTATTTTACTCTATCGTGAAATTGTGAAAATTATTCACTTGGAAACATTTTTTAACTTTCAGTCTTGCTGACACTCATGATTTCTTCTAAGCTATTCACTATCCTTCTCCCCAAGTCCTTACCAGTGGGAAGTGTGTTTCATGTATCATTCCATTTAATCCTCACAAAAACCTTGTGAGGTAGACACTGTTATCATCTCCATTGTAGAGATGAGGAAACTGAGGCACAGAAAACTAAAGTACCTTACCAAGGTCACACAGCTAGTAACCAGAAGAAGATCGATTCTCTCTTATACCTTCTGAGAAGTTGTTGCATCAGTTTCCTTCTTTCCTATCTTCTTCACTTTCTTTTTCTTGTTTGGTTATCCTACCCATCCCACCACCCCTTCCCCAGCTAACATTTATTGAAGACCTACTCTGTGCCAAGCCCTCTATTGAACACTTTACATGTGATAATTGATATAATGCTCACAACAATCCAATGAATTAAGTGCTATTATTGTACCCATTTTTCAGTTAGGGAAATTGGGGCACAGAAAAATCAAGCAACTTCTCCAAGTTTACACAACTAGTAAGTGGCAGAGCTGAGATTTGAATCCAGTCTGTGAAGCCCATACCTTGACTATTATGCTATACTTCCTAATCTTCAGCTTGCAAACACATTCTTTCTCTGGTCTAAATTGATCTTTTTTTTTTTAACAACACTCACTCAAATTATCACTCCATTTTTTCCTGCAGTTTCCATTTAAATCATTACTGAAACTGTTCTTGCCAAAGTTGCCTAAAGATCCCCTAAATATGTCCAGAGTGCTCTCTTTACCTTTTCAACATACTTGACTCACTACCACATTTAAGGCTGTTGTATGTTCCTTCCTTCTTTAAAACCTCCCCTTCCTTGTCTTCTATGACACTACTCTACCTTGGATTTCCACCTACCTCTCTGACTGCCCTTTTCATTCTCTTGTCTTGCCACTCTATAATCCTTATTTGGGTTATCTCATAAACTTAAGAGTTTCAGCTCTTTATATGCTTCAGCCATTTATATGCTGAGGACAGCCTGTATAACAAATCTGCATCTCCAAGCTGAATGTTTTTCATGAGCTTGGACCCACCCATTCATCTGTTAACTGAACATTTTGACTTGACAGCTCATACTTGATATGTCTAAAACTGAATTCATCATCAAACCTTCCACTACCATTTCTATCCTTGACTAACAGTCACATAGTCAACCAAACAATAAGGCCTAAGGTCATCTATGACTCTTCCTTCTCCTTACCTTCCAGATTCCGCTTCTGGAATCTTTGTACCTCTCCATCCCTACTTGTAGTGTATTTGCTTAAATTTTTCATCATGTCTGACATGGCCTATTAAAATAGCTCCTTTACTATTGCTTTATTTGCCTCCAATCTCTATGGCCTTTGTTGTGGGTTGAATTATGTTCCTTAAAATGTGTTGGAGTCCTAATTCCTGGTACCACAGAATGTAACTGTATTTGGAGACAAGGTATTCACAGAGGTAATCGGGTTACAATGAGGTCATTAGGACAGACCCTAATCCAATATGACTAGTATCCTTAAGAAAAGGAGAAATTTGAACACAAAGATAGACTCACATAGAAGAAAGATGATATGAAGGGTGTAG